TTTTAAAAAATGGTGTATTTTTTGTGTTCTTATGTATGTCATAATTAAAAATAAATGAAGAATTAAAATTTTTTATTTTTTTAAACTTCCCGCCATGCGTGACAATCTAGTCCGTAGTTCCTCCAAGCGATATTGCGGGTGCTAGTAGCAGTAGACTTGTCAACAGTGTCAAATTTAAACGTCAATTTCACTTTCCAATATTTAGCAAGGCGCTCGCACTTCTTCTTGTGTATGTGTTTTGTGGTATACAGTATTCTTTATCCGCTGCACTGTAAACGACGCGCAGCGGAGCAGAGCTAAACTAAATCTCGGACAGGTTGACTAGCGGCGACGGTATCGTCAGCTACATCTCGGACAAGTTTTATTTCTTTAATCAACGGTTATAGTGATTTCGGGTGAAACAGGTGCCCGAAAACAATAATTGAATTCGTCAATCAATCCCGATTTATGTCTTGTACCAAAGTACTAAATCTCTTTTTTATATCTATATCTGAAAAAAATATAAAGTTATAGGAGCGAGCTACTTTTGAGTAACACCGGGTATATGTTTATATAGATTTATCTTAAATAATTATATTCCATTGCTTCCTAGTTACAAAATATTATTAATGTTTTGAAAAATAAAGTTTATTTTTACGCTGTGCTGTAGAAATAATAAATACACACGTAAATCTTACTGATAACGTAAGAAATTGGTCTCGGTATTTCTGAAAACTGATGGACGTATAATGAAAATTACTCACTTAATTGTTTCTAGACGTTATATTACACCAGGCAATGGGTCGACGCGCGACGTAATCATTAAGAATTTCATTTTATTGGTGTGGGTGGTGCTGATTTTATTCCCAACACAGGTGCATTTTTGTACCAGATATTTAAAATAAATAATGATCGAATTAAATAGATGTCATAAGTTCCTGATAATAACAGTGACAGTTCATTGTTCTTTTCTTTTAATTTCCGAAACGGTTAAAGCTACAATTATTATAAAATTATAATATACATAGTAAAGCCCCATACTCACTATACTGTGCGTTGATGTATCAATTTGATACCCATGCACTCACAGTGAGTATGATGCGCTTCGTCGTTGCGACTTGTTAGTTCGTTTGGAAATTTGTCCATTGCGTTCGTGATATTTATTTTAGACAGTTTTCCCAAAACCCGACATTTTGCCGAACCGCCAAAGAATCTATCGCATCGACGCATTGGCCTATCAAATCGATGCATTGGCAAACCGTATCGACAAACCGCATCAGCGCATAGTGAGTATGGGGCTTAAATATAGATCATATTATATGGTATTTTTCTAAAGTTCCACACTAGTTCTGTCATTGGAAATTTTTACTTGGAAAAAAGTCCGGAAGTTTTGCAACTTTGCAAGTTTATAGGTTTTGGGGTCCCTAACTAAAATCCATAAAATGCATATTTCCAGACTTGCCGTCGGCGCCGCCATCTTGTCAAGATGGCGCCCAAAATCGGTATTTTGTGAATATCTCGAAAACTATGTGTTTTTCGCGAAAATTTGGGGAGAGTAAAATTAAAGAGAATAAAATTTCATATAAAAAAGAATCTTATGAAGATTTTCTAAAGTCAACCGGTTAGGGACAAAATCCCCGGAAATTTTACAATTTTGCGTAAAATATGATATATTATGTATAGTCGATTTTCCGAAATCAAATGTCGATTAGGGTTGACTAAAACTAGTTTTAGTTTAGTTTCTTCACTTTTGTCATGAAACAGTGGCGTATCATTAATTCGCTCATTAATTTATGAATAATTAATTTTAATTATTGAAAATGTGTACTCGTTTCCACACCACCCAAGAGATAAAGTACATGGCGCATTTATTTTAACGTGGTCTCCCCAGAGGCCTACTCCACTAGGTGAATTAAAAACTTTAACTTATCTGCACAAGCCCGACGGATCTGGCTCATTGATGTCAAAGTCGATCGTGTCTGCTGTGCTGGGCTCCTCAGGGTGGTCTCTCAATACGTCCAACTCTTCATCTTCAGCCGCCAGAGGGATATCTACAGGCCAAGTCCAACCCCTCTTCATCGGATTCGTCGAGTGACACTTCAGTGACATTGTCACAAGATTTCCCATTGCAGTATGCACAAGTTCGCAATGAATGCTGTCCAGCACGACAATTAATTATTCATAAATTAATGAGCGAATTAATGATATGCCAATGTTTCATGACAAAATTGAAGAAACTAAACTAAAACTAGTTTTAGTGAACACTAATTGACATTTGATTTCGGAAAATCGACTATAGTAGGTATGTATTGTATATTATACTTTACGCAAAATTGTAAAATTTCCAGGGATTTTGTGCCTAAACGGTTGACTTTAGCGAAAATTTTCTTTTTATAGGAAGTTTTATTCTCTTTAATTTTGCTCTCTTCAAATTTTTGCGAAAAACGCATAGTTTTTGCGATATTTACAAAATACCGATTTTGGGCGCCATCTTGGCAAGATGGCGGCACCGGCGGCAAGTCTGGAAATGTGCATTTTATGGATTTTAGTTAGGGACCCCAAAACCTATAAACCTGCAAAGTTTCAAAACTTCCGGACATTTTTCCAAGCAGGCCCCTTTTTTGAACCCCAATGACTGAACTACACCCAATATGCATTGATGCGGTTCGTTAATGCGTCGAGTTTTGGGCCAAGCATCAAAAGAAATAACACAATGGACGAATTTACAAACGATCTCACGAATCGTATCGACGTACCGCATCATATTCACTATTCGTCCATGAACGTATCAAATCGATGGAAGTATCAGCGCAGTATGGGGCTTAAGAGTAGTATTAAAAAAGAATGTCGTATTTTATACTACATACTATAGTAATAAATAACCACAAATTATAAAGCTTGTTTTTTTATTACGGCAGGAGATTTTAATACGAATTAGGTACAACATCGGTGTAACTGTATACGGAGTGATTCTGATGCTTGAAAGAAATTTAGGAAATGAAAGATTTTTTTAAAAATACGCTGGACATATCAATTATTAGTACTTCAAATTACGTTTTTTATGTAATGAAATAAAGAAAATTTTATACAGTATATCCCAAATTTTACAATTATCGTTTTTTTGAAGTGAAACTTCTTTACTCGCGATGGAAGTGAAAATTCAAAGCCATGACACGGACAGACGGACAGATATGGACAGACAGGCAGACGGAAGTAATAAGAAATTTTACACACAATTTTTTTTAAATGGCAACCTTAATTTTTTTGACATTATTCATAAATGGTATCTATATAAAATATCAAATTACACATGCGTGCCAAATGTTTATTCCTTATTTAAACATTATTTAACCCAACATTATCATTTTGTAATTCGAAAAACGAATTCAACTACATATTTACTTCTATATATTTTAAGATTCAATAAACGCTGGAACAATTCTGGTTTTTTAGCCAGAACGGCAAAGTTTGCAACATACCTCATCACATCTCGAAAAGGAAGCTTTAAACTTTACAAGTTGATATGAACTTTTTGTTTTATTTTTGCAAGTTCTATCGTCTATTAAATTTTCCCGATTAAAATCTGAGACACCCTGTATATTCTTACATATTATGTGTTTATAATGTTTAGCGCTGAGTAAGAGTAGTGGACTAGATGAATTTTAGTTTGGAAATTTACTGGGTCACAATCAGTGGAGGCTCGTGAGTTGTGAAAAAGATTGAACACAACTTCCACAAGAAAAAACAACTTGGCTACTATTAGCTGTGCTATTAGGGTTCCGTACCCAAAGGGTAAAAACGGGAACCCTATTACTAAGACTTCGCTATCCGTACGTCCGTCCGTCACAAAGGTCTATCTTATGAACCGTTATAGTTAGATAGTTGAAATTTTTACAGATTAATCTATCTATGTTGCCGCTATAAGAAAAATACTAGAAACATAATTAAATAAATGTTTATAAATAAAAAAGTACTTTCACTAAACATTATCTTTTAAGTAAGAATTTTACACAGAGTCTTTCAAGTCCTCGGTGGCCGCGTGGTTAAAGCGTTAGCACTTTATGCTGCTATGACGTTGGAGCCGTAGTAAGGCAAGTTCGAATCCTAGTCAAGGCGACTTTTTTTTAATCGTTTTTTTTTTATTTTTACATATTTTTACATATTTATTTTTACTTTTTACACATTAATACAGTTTTTAGTAATATGTTTCTTCATTTTTTTTAAATTACTTATACGCGCATTCAAAATTTCAGCTAAATCGGAAAAAAAGTTTATAATAATATAGTGTCTAATGTTGTATAGATAATGAATGGTACGGAACCCTTCGTGCGCGAGTCCGACTCGCACTTGACCATTTTTTTATATTTAATGAATATACTTATTAAGGTTTTACGCTAAACATGATGTCATTATTTGAAGGTATAAAGTATAACGTAAAAATATCATCTCATGCCCTCAATTATATATTTATCTCTTTCCTTTTTTCTTGGCGGTTGGCTAGGTACGTGCCCCGGCGCCATTTAAGAACAGCCGGCACTGGTGGCAATCATTGCTTGAAGCTTAAACTGTGGCTTAAATGCAACTGAACTCCATATTCCGTTTTATAGAGAGAGTATTATGTTATAGGGGTGTAATTCATGGAGCTCATACCCCTTTTGATTTTATTGCTGTTATAATAATAAGGGTTGATAACCTTAAAGACGTTTCAGAGCCTAATGTGTGCCTTTTTCAAGTGAGAATATATTTTTTGTAGTTTCAAAAAAATGTTGAAAAACATGAGTGACTTAATTAATACGGAACAATTCGGTACGTTTCGACATTTGTTTTATACGAATACTGTTGACAGCTACCATACATTGCTGGCAATAGTTTCGAAGAAATATTTTTTAATAACTTTTATTTAAAAAATATAGGGGAGAGACGTAAATAAATAAAAATTCGTTATTTTTCAAATTATTATCTATGAAAGATGAGATGTAAATAAAAGTGTAAAAAATGCAAGACCGCAAGAGTCTCGTGAGTGTATAATTTATTATTGTGAACCTGGACTAGCACAAATTGGCGACGAGGTAAATACTTAACAACAAATAATCACCTAGTAAATATATAGGTAAATAGTGCCTATTTAAAATAAAATGCACAAGTAAAAGCATAAAGTATTAAGAGTGCTGTAATTTTAGATATAAAGAGACCTAATACTACCAAATAAGGGAGTGGATTAAATTCTACTAAAATAGGAGTGGATTAAATTCTACTAAACAGGAGTGGATTCAATTCTACTACAAGAGTGGATTAAATTCTACTAAAGGAGTGGATTAAATTCTACTAGAGGAGTGGATTAGATTCTACTAAAGGAGTGGATTAAATTCTACTGAAGGAAAGCTGATTATTGAGACTAATAAGCACTGTAAGTGAAACAAAGTAATTTACAATAGTTAGTTGGTTCATAACGCTTTAATGTCATAAAAAAATGGCAATTTCAGAAGCTATTATTCCTAAAAATAAAATAGCTAGGGGTTAAAGCAATTTATTACATTATAAAAATATGATATATTTGGTTAACTATAATATTCTTTGATTTGGTGCATAAAGCTTTCAATATTATTTAAAAAAAAATATATGTATTTATACACATCTGGTTTTAATTTTACATTATGAAGTTTTAGTAATCTGGCGAATTTCAAAGCCTTGTGACATTAAAGTGGTATCAAAGCCTTGTGACATTAAAGTGGTATGTTTCCGGAGGAAATCTAATGCATGGTCATGGTCGCACTTTCATATTATGATGATCAATGTTTCTTGGGTTGTTAGGGGGAACTGTTGTTGCGTTTTGAGAATACCCGTGCGTCATCAATGACACCAAAAAAAAAAAAATGAATAGGATGATTATATGTTATTGAAAATACTACAATAGAATAAATTTTATTCCTAGATATCCTCGAAAAAAAAAGTGCAATGGATCAGTCGTCTATTAAACATTTCGCTTGTGAGTCTATAGACAAAGCTCTAATAGCTCTTGAATGGAGAAAATGGATTCGTTCAGTAAAGTTATATTTAGATGCAGAAGAAATTACAGATGTTGTAAAAAGGAAAAATAAATTATTACATCTTGGAGGTCCGCAATTGCAGGAAATTGCCTTTGGCTTGCCAGGCGCGGTTACGGAATATGACCCCACTATTAAAAATGATGTATTTAAAGCATTGGTAGATAGACTTAATGACCATTTTTCGCCTCAACAAAACCCTTGCTTTGAGAGACACGTATTTCGCAACATGAAACCCGCGGATGGAGAAAATTTAAATAGATTCCTTATAAGATGTAGAACACAGGCCGATAAATGTTATTTTGGTAACAGTGAACAAGAAGCTCGAGAAATCAGCATTAAAGACAAGTTAATTGATATGTGGGCACCGATAGATTTAAAACAGAAACTTCTGGAAAAGGAATCATCATTAAATGATATTATAGAACAATGTCAAATATATGAACAGACACGAAACCAAAGTGCCATCATGCACAAGAAAGACATTTTTCTAACAAACTCCACTAGCGAGGCTCAAGTTAATCGAATTGAAGATTCACGGAAACGCAAACACTGGGAAATTACAAAAAGTCATGAGTGCACACGCTGCGGTGGAATCCACAGCTTAGACAAGAAAAATTGCCCTGCCATTAATACTACATGTTATCAATGTGGTCGTTTAGGACATTTTGCTAGAAGATGTAGGACAGGAAAACTTAAACGTACATTCGGTCAAAACACTAGCCGGCACCCCAATCCGCCGAAGACAAGAAGAATTAATTGCATCGACGAATCCAATGACGAAAGTCTCCCTTCTACTAGTGGTATCGGCAACTATGAATGTTTCGAAGTTACGAGTTCAACCCTACTTGGATTGGAGAGCAGCAATGGAATAATCTCGGTGATAATTGGAGGTGTCAGCATTGATATCTTAATTGATTCCGGAGCCTCGTGCAACATTATAAATGGACATGATTGGGAAAAACTACTCGGAAATGGAGCTGCAATACTTGACATCCAAGAAGATGTAACTAATTCGATAAAAGCGTATGCTGCAAATACTCCGCTTATTGTAAAATGCCAATTCAAAGCCCCAATACGCGTGGGCAATAGTCGTGAGCGTATTGAAACATTTATGGTGGTAGAATCCGGTACAACCTCACTGCTGGGAAGACGCACATCGATAACCTTAGGAGTTTTAAAGTTGGGACTAGACTCCAATATTAATCATATTGAAAAAATTGAGCCTTTTCCAAAAGTTGCTAATATTAAAATAAAACTCACCATCAATCCAAATATAAAGCCAATACAACAACCAATGCGTAGAATTCCAATTGCCGTTGAAGAAAAAGTGGAACAGAAGCTGAATGAAGCACTTGCCAGAGATATCATAGAGCCCGTACAAGGACCAAGCCCTTGGATTTCTCCCATGGTCATAGTCTTTAAACCAGATGATGATATTCGTATTTGCATCGACATGAGGAGAGCCAATGAAGCTATACTTAGAGAGAATTTTCCTCTTCCCACTTTTGAGAGCTTCATGACTAAACTGAGTGGGGCCACTTACTTTTCGCGCTTGGATCTAGCTAGTGCATATCATCAACTAGAATTGGAAGAAGACAGTCGACCAATTACTACTTTTATAACACATAAAGGATTATTTAGGTACAAGCGGCTAATGTTTGGCATAAATTCCGCTCCAGAAATATTTCAGCGTATATTTCAAGGTATTTTGGCTCCTTGTCAGAATTGTCTCAACTACCTCGATGACATAGTTGTTTATGGAGAAACTGAAGCTGATCATGACCGATATTTGAATAACTTACTGACGGTACTACAAAATCATAACATCTTGTTAAACGAAAAAAAGTGCCACTATAAGGTTAAACAATTGGAATTTTTAGGACATATTCTAACATCTTCCGGAATATTACCGGACCCAAAGAAGATTAAAGTTATTCGTGACTTTCGTGCACCGTTAAATAAAGGAGAAGTAAGGAGTTTTCTTGGCATGGTTACATACTTGGGAAAATTTATACCTAATCTGGGAACCCTGACCGAACCACTAAGACTATTAATAAGAAATGAAACAAAATTCAATTGGGGACAAATAGAACAAGAAAGTTTTCAAAAATTAAAAAATGAATTGGTGAATTTGCCGACTCTGTCCTTTTTTGATATGAAATTACGCACGCAATTGATTGCCGACGCCAGCCCAGTGGCCCTGGGCGCTGTGCTGCTACAGATTGATGGTGACGATCAACCACATGTAATCTCATTTGCAAGTAAAAGCCTCACCGCTGTTGAACGGAGATACTCTCAAACTGAAAAGGAGAGTCTGGCATTGGTTTGGTCTGTCGAAAGATTTTATTACTACCTCGCTGGAATACAATTTGAGTTGATCACAGATCACAAACCACTTAAAGCGATTTTTAAACCAACTTCAAGACCACCCGCAAGGATTGAGAGATGGTTACTTAGACTCCAAGCTTTTAAATTTACTGTAAAATATAAATGTGGAAAATCAAACATCGCGGACCCCTTGTCGAGGTTATGCAAAATAGAATCGGATCCAACTTTTGATGAGCCGAACGAATGTCAGATTCAAACTATTATAACAGAAAGTATACCCAAAGCGTTATCAATATCCCAGGTAATTATGAACAGCAAAGTTGACCCAGACATCCCAGAAGTTATCGAGAAATTGGCAGGCAATTCATGGAACGTAAATGACAAAAGCGCGTACTACCCCTTTCGAATGGAACTCACTTCCATGGGACCACTACTACTAAGAGGAAATAAAATTGTAATCCCGAGAAATCTGCGAATTCAAGTGTTGAGGCTAGCACATGAGGGCCACCCCGGAGAATCGGTGATGAAGCGAAGATTACGTTCAAAAGTCTGGTGGCCACAGATAGACAAGGAGGCGGAAAAACACGTTAAAAGCTGTCGCGAATGCCTACTTGTATCACAACCGAGCAGACCTTCACCAATGGTAAGACAAATGCTTCCTTCAGGGCCATGGCAATACTTGGCAATGGATTATATGTCGGGAGAGCCAAATCAAGATCACCTACTGGTAATAATCGATTATTATTCCCGTTATGTAGAACCAATTTTTACAAAATCAACCACATCGTCAACGGTCATTAGAGCACTTGAAACGACCTTCTGTCGATTTGGTCTACCAAAAACTATTAAAGTAGACAACGCTACTAATTTCAATAGTGAAGAATTCAAAAAATTCTGCGAAATAAATGGCATTGAGATAGTGAATTCTCCTCCTTATTGGCCGCAGGCAAATGGGGAAGTGGAAAATATAAATAAATCACTAAAGAAACGGCTACAAATCAGTTACCTGAACAATGAGCGCGACTATCAACGGCAGATTATGGACTATATTACGATGTATAATGTTACACCTCATGGAACAACAGGAAAGTCCCCGTCAGAACTTTTATTTAACAGAAGAATAAAGGACAAAATTCCATGCCTAGAAGATATAAATATAGAAACGTTGGACGAAGAAGTTTATGACCAAGACCTAGTTCAAAAAGATAAAGGAAAAAGAAGGGAAGATAGCAAAAGAAGAGCAAATGAAAAGGAAATTAAACCAGGAGACAAAGTCGTGGTAAAGAATATTTTCTTTCCACATAAACTGACAGCGAACTTTAGTAACATAGAATATAATGTCCTACATCGAAATGGGAATGAGCTAACCCTATTCGGAGATGGAAAGACGATCAAGCGAAATGTTGCCCACGTAAAAAGGATACCGGACACCTCACCTACCGTAGATCTACCCGAAGCTCCTCCAGACCCCTCAACATCTAGTTCAACACTTCCATCAACCCAACCGACTTCAGAAGATACGACCACATCAGAGCCGCCCCCGGCTGGAGGCCAACCCGAAGAAGAGGACTCGAACGCACCCCGTGTGACTCCACTTGTTCTGGTGAAAAAAGGAGGGATGTGGCAACCGGCTGATGCCCGAAAATAAAAAATTGTTTATATGTTTTTGCTGCGATATAAATTATCGATCGGCCGGGCAGCGGGCGATGGGTATTTGTGTAGATAAGTTAGTGAGTATGTATTTGAAGTTGTTTGGAATATTATTGTTTGTTAATAAATGTATTGTTATTGCTTATTTCGTGAGTGTATAATTTATTATTGTGAACCTGGACTAGCACAGTTTTATACGAATACTGTTGACAGCTACCATACATTGCTGGCAATAGTTTCGAAGAAATATTTTTTAATAACTTTTATTTAAAAAATATAGGGGAGAGACGTAAATAAATAAAAATTCGTTATTTTTCAAATTATTATCTATGAAAGATGAGATGTAAATAAAAGTGTAAAAAATGCAAGACCGCAAGAGTCTCGCATGTAGGTCTTGGTCTTGGTTTTGCTCCACTCTCATTTTTGCTCCACTCGTTTTGATCTTGGTTTTGCTCAAAAGCAAGACAAACACCAAGACCAGTCTCGCTAATTCACTTTTTGTATGTACAAAATCATACGAGGTATAAATATAAATATTACTATAAGCAATATATTTGGTCGTATTATTTGTACATACATTAATTTAAAATAAACATTGTTGATTCAAGAATAACTAGTACTTAAATTTACCCAATTTAACTTCATTATTTTGAATATATTAGTCAATGTCATCATTTATTCCCCTTTATTCTCTGTCTGACAGTGTGTCTGTCAATAGGGCATAGTTAACACGTAATTTGAACTCCTATAGGCCCAGAAGTCACATCTGCCACACTGAAATCTAATTAAGGTTCTCTTCAAACGCTTTAACAAACTAATAGAAAAAGTGTCAATACCATCAGCCAGAAAAACTATTTTAAAGTGAGGTTTATTTAGTCCTAATTTAAATATTAAAAATGAATAAAATAAAAAATACATGAAAGATTAAAATACTTCCTTAATAATTTAAATCATATTTACTTAATGGATTGATAATTTTATGAGAATGAAATTAATTAATTAATATTTTATTTATTATAAGTAGTACGAGTATATTTGGATAAAAATAAAATTTTCACAATCTTCTATGTAACAAATAATTGTTTCGTTCTGAATGTGTGTACACTGGGGTTGGGCTTAATGAAACTTAATAAGGGAGTTAAAGAAACCCTATACTGGATAAGTTAGTAAGTCATATTATTATGGTTGGAGTAATTTCGTTTATTTTTAGAAACTTATTTTTCTTAATCAGAAAGGTATTTTCGAGGGTATCTTTAATTAGTTTTCACTTTTCAGTAAATATTTCATCAATTTATGTGGGCAAAATTAATAACGAGTTTATATACAAAAAAATACAAATAAAATTTAATCTAAAATATACTTTAAACTGAAGTGCTAGTTAAATGTTAAATGTTTTGTTCGATTGATTTTTCATTTTTTACAGTGACAAAACATTAACATTTTAAAATGTTATTATTAAATAATACAAAGATTATAATAAAAAAATAAGTATCACTAAGAATTGAAATACGAACACAAACACAAACAGATTAAAATAACAAAAAAAAAATAATGGGAAAATTACAAATAAAACTTGAGATTTAGAATAGAGTTTATTTTGGAACTTTTGGTGTAATAACAGCAAAATAAAACACTAATTAAAATTAAACTACAATACACGAAAATACTTAATTTTAACATTGGACGCGCGTTTCGCTAACAACGTGAGCATGATCAGCAGATGATTAATATATAGTCACATCTGCTTTAGATGCTAACATAGTTAGCAATTCGCGCGTCCAGTGCAAGTAATGTGTGTGGGTGTATGTGGTGAATTAGTGTTTATTTTTCTAAGAATTAGAAACGTTCTATTAATTAGAAGTAGATAAATGTAGATTTTTGAAAACGGAAGTAGATAGTAGATGTAGACCTTTGAAAGAACCTAATAGTTCATTGTTGAAGTGAAACTTCTTTACGCGCGTTGGGAGTAAAAATTCAAGGCCGTGACACACGAGCTAGCGTCAGGAAAAGTGGTAACGGCAGTGTTGCCACAGCTACCTCATTCGGGGTAGATATATCCCTTTGTAAAACAATTTAACTCTCTCTGGGTAAACGATCTGTGCCATACGCAGCTAGAATGTAGAATATTTAGGAGGAGAGTTAATCACTGCGACGTCTTACAGATCTATGGTATGTTCTCATTTCTTGAGTTATAACGAGTTATAACTCATCATGCAGTCTCAGAGCTTTCACAAATGCCAGCATCTGAGACGGCTCCACAGAGGCTAGCTCTCCATCCTCAACATCAGCCGTACCAAAGTTCATGGCACGAACGGTCGTCGTCTCGGCGCACTCAGTGATAAGGTGTTCTGGTGTTTCCCCATTTTCCGCACAGAATCTGCATTCTTCGTTGTTCCTCAGCTTCAGCCTACTGAGGTGTTCGTTGAGGAGACAATGCCCTGTTAGAAACCCTGGGACAATCTGAAGATTGTTTTTACTTAAATCAAGGAAACATTTTTCAACGAGATTTTTCTCGGTCGTAAGTTCTGAGGAAGTTTTTCGAGTGCCTTAGACCATTGGAGAACTCCCATTCCAGGTTACGAATGGAGTCTTCTAGGTTATTCATTCATCCTCGGTCTAGTTTTTTCATTAATCCTCTGGTTGTGTACTAGGATGTACATTTTCATTGATATTTTCATCGACAGGTTTGTAGCTTCTGAATAACGGTCTAGGTAAAGCACCTAGCTCATTTGCTGGCTCAGAATTAGAATTATTAGAGTTAGTAACTCACATTTTCATTGGAGGACACTGTCATATTTATTTCAAACCAATAACCAACAAGAATATTCGTATAATTTAATAAAATTACTGTAACAAATTGGTTAAATGGCCACAGCTGCCAGGCCTATCCGGCCGGTTGATAGAATTAGCTATTTACGGTTGAGGGTTTGGGTCGATTGGAACCAAACTATGCACGTGGGTAGAGGTACCCAAATGTAGTCCTCAGACGAATAGACGAACAAACAGACACACGCAAGTTGACGCAAGTAAGAAGAAGTTTCACTTCAAATATGCGCACATAATGCACTAATAACTTTTTAGTTAAGAAAATCTGCATTTTAGTAGCTATGGATTTTCAACCCAGCGGCCTAGGCATAATGGTTTTCAGTCTTACAATATTGTATTCCTTTTATTATTTAATCTTTTGCAAAGCAAATTCAGATCTCTGTACATACCTATTTATAAATAAATTTTATAGCATCACCATGTATGCTGTAATAGAGAAAACAATTTGAAATATTTTATTAAACATCCGTAATACCGTATGATCGAATAAAAACGGCGTCAGCGATGGCTATGAAATGGCAATCGATAACATTTCCCATATCAATTTACATATAAAATGACTTCTTTCAAAATCTTCATTTCAGCCATCGCTGACGCCGTTTTTATTCGATCATACGGTATTATATCGAATATAATTTAAATAAAATTCCTGAGAATTGACAAGACTGATTCAATACTGAGTTTATTTCTTCAACTTAATTGTTATTACTTAGTAGTTAGATGCTATTAAGAATTAGAATTTATATAATTGTGACATAAAAAAACGTGAATCTGCCAGCTATTGTGATTCACCGATGGAAATTATTCGAAATAGTTATAAATTACAAACAGGATAAACATACGATAAACAATAGTGTTGGTGTCCTTGGGTATGGTTCGGTAAATCAGTGATTCAAAAATTTCGTTTCTATAAATTAGTACCTGTAGGTATTTCTTTTATTTCAACCACAAATAAAATACCATAATATGCACAAATATTACTTAAACAATTTGTGTATTTGTGAAATTCCATCATTTGTGTTTTATTTTTGGCAAAATTAGATAGATTTTTTTTATGAATATTTTATTTAATTTCAACCACAAATAAAATACCATAATATGCACAAATATTACTTAAACAATTTGTGTATTTGTGAAATTCCATCATTTGTGTTTTATTTTTGGCAAAATTAGATAGAATTTTTTTTATGCAAATCTCTAGTATTTTTATCACTGAAACATAAACTTAAATATTTGTTTTATATTTATATAGTATATTTTTGTATAATAAAGTTTATTTTATAATAAACTTTGAGTTGGAATGCAAAAAGACCAATTGGGGACTGGTTCTTCACTTGTACACAAGTTTTCCTAACAGTAAAATACTTTTTATTACTTAATTTTGTTATATGCTTCATTATTTTTAATATCTACAGAGAACATAATATGTAGTGTGCTGTATGTACAATTATTTCTTTATGTTTGAATTAAAATAAGACCATTTAAGTTTCCTCTTTTCCCAAATTACTGTTAAGCAGGGTTGGCATGATTTAATCAAATGATTTAAATCGTGATTTAAATCAAGTGATTTTTTTAATTTTAATCGTGTGATTTAAATCAAAAAATTAATTTTATTGAAACTTTATAATAAATCAAAAAATAACAGTAAGTTATAAAAATCTGTCCTAGAAAACTATAAAAAATATTTCTATAACAGATATAACAGATAATAAATCGAAAGATAATTGTAAATTTTATAAAACTAAACAAAAATATCTATTCATCAATTTAAATGTTGAACCGATTTTTGAAGTAATTTCGTGTGAATCCATAAGACCGCTAAATGCAGAGATTTATTTTAAAATTTATGTATAAGTAACAAAAATTCGCTGTTCGAATACATATCATTCGCAGACTAGTGCCAGAACTAGGTTCTTCTGATATAGAGACTAAATATCTTCATTCCCGAAAATCTATAATCGTTGTCAGAAAATGCTGTTTTATATATTTTTTTTGAAACGTTGGTATGTTTCCAAATTCTTACCGACATGACATTTTGATTTGCAGTAAGTACTTTACACTTTGACATTAGATAATACTAATTTCATTCTCGACTTAAGACTATTTCCGAACAGTAGTGTATTGTTTTATTAAGAGTAGAAATTATACTTTTTTTTTGACGATGCTGTACATTTGAAAAACCATCGTAAAACTATTCCGACGTTACAAGGAGGCAAAAGAAGTACATTTTTACTCCGGATAAAACACTATTTTTTTAAAACATTACAAATAATTTTTTAATCGATTTCAAACATTGCAAATAATACAAACAGTAATCGAGAAATGATATGTACACTCGTTGAATTTGACACCTAATATCAGTTTAATATTATATTATATTTGTACTTTTGTGCTTAGGCGTAACAGTGCTTTACTTTTATGCCTAGCCGTTAAAATGACAAAAAATAATACTTTTGAAACATTTGAAAAAAAATCCTATTGATCTGAAGCGAGCGACTTTTTTTGCAGAATATATTGGTTTGACCTATACATGGTGACCGATGTGGAAAAATGATACGCGCCGTAGAATTATTAATGTTATCGGTATCGCTCAGAGTTATAAAGATTTAGCCATTTAGGATAGGACTTTAATTGGAAATAAGTCTTAGTCATTTAGAAATCCGATTTAAATATTGTTTTGAATTAAAATCAAAAAAATCTGATTTTTTTTTTTTTTTTAAAAATCATGATTTTTTCCAACCCTGCTTTTAAGTCCTCTTCTGGATAGTGTTGTGAGAGTTTTCCGAAGCTTAGAATTATTATTTTGAATGTCGGTTATGATATTTTAACACTGCTGTTCACTTATAACCAGCCAAATGGCCCTTAGAGTTGCAAAATATTTTTTTTTTTCAAATACACTATGTTCTTTAATTTGAATGTTTAAAGTCCTAGATTCATTGACAGAAATATGAAATGTTTTTCCAACATAAGAAAAAATTGACTGAAATTATAAATTTGGGAACTTACATTATATCATTACAACATAAATTTTTCTTCGAAATAATGAAACATTTCAAATTTATGATTTCAGTCTAATAACTCTTTAGTCAACCTTTTTAATTTATGTCAATGCGCTGACAGGCATTGATAATTTGTATTCCAAATATCTTGAGAACCATTACTCTTAGCGATTTTTATCAAGAGATTTTTTTTACCAGTAGTTTTATACACGTACGGGCGAAAAGTTATTACTCTTCAAACCAGTTAAAAACATGTAGGTGGTGCCCTCTACAAGTAGAAATTATATTGACGTCAAAATCAAATTCATCATGTCAAAAAACTCTCAGACACCAATTTTCATCCAAATATTTACTTTACTTCAGAAATTCTTTGGAATAAATCGAAATAAAAATGAAATTTCTACTCCCTGTATCTCAGAAACTAAGCATTTTAGAATAAACATTTACTTATTTTTATCTGCAGAATATGCTGCCGATGTTTCCGGAATACAATTCGGACCACCCTGTATAATAAAAATAAAATAAAATAATAATAAAATCTTTTAGGTATTTTTCGTTATTTTAGATTTATTTTAATAGTGATTTAAAGAAATTTAAAGTTGATCCATGTGTAAGGAACCACTATATAATTAAAAAATTAACCCCTTTATGCAATAATAAAGTTCAATTACCACGGCCGGAAGTGTTAATTTGTATGGCACAATTTCTTGCTAAAAATTATTGAGCATTGAAATTAAAGAGGCAAGTGAAACATCGTTTACCCAATAATTGGTTATAATTAAATAACTCTGACTGTAGTGGAGAATTATGTTATCTAAGATTGAATTAATAATGAAATTAAGATTTTTTGAATGTTCCATTTATCATGCTCGTGTATGTTTATATTTTATTGTGTGGACTACGAAAATATGATATATTTACAGTTAAAATCTAGTCTATGTAAATACTTACATAGGTCGATGTAGCAAATAATGACCTGGTGCATTAATAATTAACTACTACAGTTGGAGGCTGGTACCGTTAATATAATAACAGCTAAATCAAACACTAATTCACCACAATACACCAAAACACTTTACTTTTGCACTAAACTTGTTAAAACTCTGGATTTTTAATCATCTGCTGATGATGTTAACATAGTCAGCAAGACGCTATTACTTCTTGCTAAGAGAGAAGTCATAGCATATGCAGATTATGTTGCGCTGATGGTAAAAGCTAAATGTACCGAATACCTCGTTAGAACTGCGGAAAGAGCATCGGAGCAGGTGTGCTCATGGATGGATGAGGTGGGACTAGAAATAGCACCGCACAAAACGGAGGTAGTTATCTTGGTCGGTAACCGAAAATCACGAAGTGTACGTTTTCATTTGAAACAAAATATAATTGTACCAAATAAAACAATAAAATATTTGGGGATTGTTTTCCAAGCGGGAGGAGGCTTTTCTGAGCATATCCGCCATACAGTTTTGAAAGCAGAAAAACAGGGCGCCATGTTATCCAGAATTATGCCAAACTGGTCTACCTTGAGTCAAACGAAACGCCGAGTGCTAGATGCTGTACAAGCATCTACAATTCTGTATGGATCCGAAATTTGGGGAGAAACCTGCAAAATTCGGAGTCATAGAGAGAAACTTCTTGCAGTGCAATGAAGATTGGCCATAAGAGTATGTCGTGGATACAGGACAATATCTGCGGAGGCTGCACAAGTTTTGAGCTCAATGACCTCAATAGACATAGTAATTGAAGAAAGAATGGAAAGGCAAGAACATTCAGGAAGAACAGCGGAAGAAAGTAGAAATAAAGTTTTGGAAATATGGTGTAAAAGATGGAGTGAAAACAAAAATGGGAAAGGTAAATGGACTAGAACACTTATAAAGGACCTAGAGTGTTGGATAAATAGAGAATATGGAGAAATGAGCTACGCCATGAGTCAATTCCTTTCTGGCCACGGTTGTTTCAGGTATTACCTACATAAAATAAAGTTAGCTGATAGCCCGAGATGTCTCTATGACGACTCCGATGCTGATACGGTGGAGCATATCCATTTGGAATGTAACTGATGGACAGCTGAACGAAGGGTTCTATACAAAAAACTAAAAGTACTAAAAATTAAGATTTCCAATCTAGTTCCATAGATGATTCGATCCCCAGAAAATTGGAATACTGTTCACACTTTTATGGAGACACTAATAGATATAAAAGAGAAAGAAGCTAGACGAAGTAACTAAAACATCGCAGTAAAACCGCCTCCTCGAGAAGTAATGCCGAAAGGTAGTTCCTCGGGGAGATATTCAAAGCGGCTTGTGGAGGTTTCTTAGTCGGTAAGGTACCTCAACCACCCCGACAGTAACGCATATGGTCTCTGGTTTGCAGATTTTTCCCCACAAAAAAAAGAAAAAAAAAGACGCGCGCCCAGTGCAAAAGTAAAGTGTTTTGGTGTTGTGTTGATTAGTGTTTTATGCTTATTAATTAATGTTTAATATTTATAATATCAATATATAATTTGTTATAGTTGTTATACGTAATATACATATTATGTATATGTAAGATATTTTAACAGTATACTAATAAATACGAGAATAAATCTAAGTAAAAATAATATAAATATAAATTTACACAGAGTGTAATTAATTATTGATAAAAATGTTATATTTGACTTGAATATCTTTTTAGATTCTCTCAAAAGCAAATACAAATATTGGAAAAAGGATAGACATTTTACTTAGCTGACATAGGCTCAAAACTTATTATACCGTATGGTCGAAAAAAACGGCGTCATTTTATATGTAACTTTAGGTATATGGGAAATGTCATCGATTGTCATTTCTCAGCCAACTGCACGCCATATTTTTCGATCATACAGTAGTAGGTATATATTAATACAATCGAAAAAAGTGGCGTCAAAGTAGCCTATGAAATGATCATCGATAATAATTTCACTCCGACAGACGCTTATATGTTATTTATAAAAATATGATTAAAAACTTGCCAAAATGTAATATGTAAATAAAGAAAATAAACAATCATTCATTAATCAAAGTTTTTTGCAACTACCTAGTTTATCTTTGTTATACAGTATGTCCCCCGATTGTCTTTACAAAAGGAAAACCTTTTATATTATAATGGTAATATAATTTCAATTTCATTCTTGATAGATAGATATTATATATTAATTTGGTTAAGGTGATATTTCTTGCTGTTGTTAAATTATCACATTTTCCGATAATTATTATTACTCTATTACCCTTTCTGTAGGCATTGAACTAAATAAATTTGTGCTTCTTTTACATTTTGAAAGAGCAAACAATATGATATTCATTAAAATTCTATCAGTAACAATTCTATCACAAAACCAAATTATAACGCGTTTTGATTTTTAGTATTTAAATTTAGGAAAAAATTTAACTATATTTTCATGTTTTTTTTTTATTTTCTCTAAAACGGTATTTGGAAAATTATAACGAGTTTAACTATTTTAGAACAAGCAACATTTTATAGGAACAATGCGTTTTTCTCAAAATGTCAATAATAAAAAAAATGTCTTGAAAGGACAATCTGGGAACATACTGTATTATAAATAACAAAAAAATAACAATCTAAATTAAATAAACAGTTTTAAGCACTTACAAAGCACATGTTAGGATTGGAGGCATAAAACTCCCCTCTTTGACTATACCCATTGTTCATCATTCTATTCCCAAAATCTTGAATAAAACTCACTCAAAAAGATCGCTAATCCAACCGTAATAATAAAACTATCACGAAAAAAATTAAGCAAACACCTGCAAAACCAACTTTAATATTTATTTGTTTGCGATTTGCTGCTGCCTATCGAACGTTAAGCAAGCTTTACACAACCCGAGGACCGCTACCGACTACTGCCGACTGCCGGCTTGAGTAAATAGCGGGAACTCAAACTCAGGTGAGTTTGCATGGGGCGCCTCGATGATGAGTCATTCAGGTACAATTTCTGTATTCGACCGGTGCTAATAGTTATTTGCTACAGAGGTCGATGGTACTTTCATTTTCGGTTGGTATTCGGCTGGTACCGTAATGTAAATTATTAGGACGTTCTACATCAATTGACGTCTAGTAAAGAATGTTTACTACAATAAAACTTGCTAATAACGGACGCCCAAATAACTTGAGACGTGTTAGTTACAGCGAGGCTTCGGTAGTTTCGGATTAATTAATAATTTATTGAAGGAAACTATACCAGGTGCGTCTCAAAAGTGGCTCACCCCTACAACTTTTTTATTTTTTCACATAAAAAAACGAGACTTGGTATGATAGTATATGACATAAATTAGGATTGACTGACGTATTCAATTGTTTTTGGTCACTTTCTGTGTCACTGGAAATGCCTACAATTTTTGATTTTTAAATAGCACCATCGGAAATTTTTTACTATATTCGATAGAAAATGACACTTTGATTATAATCACATATCATATCTCAACTTTTGACTCATATCGAGACTCATATGGTTTATTTGAAATTGTAACATGAGGTTCATAACGGATATCTGCCTAGAAATACCAAGTGTGTGGTACCAAATTATTCGTAAAAAAATGCTTTTTCCAAATATGCTAATTAGCCACCTTCGTTATATTTGAAAAAATTGAGATATGATTAAAAATACGATTTTGGCATCTTTTCTGGCCAAAATAAGACACGAAAAACATTAGATGATGAAATCTATTTTTCCAAGGCTCCTTGAATATAAATTAGTGATTTTAACACAACCACGGCACTCTAGATTGACATTTAAAATACAATTTTTGTTAAAGCGAAAATGTCAAAAGTGGACATATGATATGTCATTCTATTCAGTGTCATTTTCTATCGAATAAAGTAAAAAAATACCGAGGGTGCCATTAAAAATAAAAAGTTGTAGTCATTTCCGGTGAAACGGGAACTGACCAAAAACAACTGAATACATCAATCAATCCTAATTTATGTCATATACTAACATACCAAATCTCCTTTTTTTATTCGAAAAAAATAAAAAAGTTATAGGAGTGAGCCACTTTCGAGACGCACCCGGTATAGTACTCTCCTATAATCCGTGTATTGAATAGGCGACCTCCCTCTCTCTGAACATAGGAAATCTCATGTAATTTTTTAAAATGATGAATTTTACCATTTTATTTATAGGCATATACATAAACAACATGCATATTGCATAAAACTTATTAACATTAAAATGAAGCAAATTTTTGAATAGTTTCTAAGAATGGGTTTTGAAATAATGCCTACAGTCTACAGGGTCCGGCAATAGTGCATCGGGCATCTTAGGAATTTTGTATAAGTGCAAACCTATTAGGATGTATTTCAGGAAAATATTTTAACTTCTACAGGGTGGCTCAAAAAAGTGTGAGTAGATCGGGATGATTTATTTTAAATGGAAGACCCTGTATATTATTGCATTGTTGGCTTACTTTCAGATCACTTTATATAATTCTAGGATATGAGTAAATATGTTTCGATAGTTTCAGAGATATTATTAGATAAATATATATTCTTCAGCCTTAAAAAAATATTAAAAATACAAGAACAGTCGTGAAATCAAAACTATATTAGGTATTTACTTTAGATGGCCTGGTGCTAACTTTGCTACAAATATCGTAATTTTAAATCAGTATACAGGATACTTTGCAATAAATATCGAAATTTTACAGGATGTTCAAATTCTGCACCAAATTTCTAAAGTATAAAATAATTATTCTTCCTTTTTTAAATAAAACACCTTGTATATAATTTTTTTATTAGATAGAGAATTAAAAAATGAACATTTTTTGTGTTTAGGGTAATGCAATTTTTAACGATTTCGCAGATATTAGGGGCTTTATATTTCATGTAGCATTTTCTATAGTAAATTTTTATCAAAGCCATCCAATGATTTTTCTCTCGTATTTTACAGTTTTAAGAGCCATAATACTGCGTGTATCTGTCAAACTGTTAAAAAATTTAAAATATTCCAAATACGGATATATACAAATATATATAAATAGTTTATTTTTTAATCTTCATCCAATAACAAAATAATATATAGTTGGATAGGGGTGAGCCACTTTCGAGACGCACCCGGTATAATGTATAATAGTATTTGAAAGTAAATACACTCTTTTAATAATTTTAAACATTTTCAATAGTCAACAACAAAATACTTTGCACAAAACATCCGACTAAAAATAATCAACTTTCACTTTGTAAACATGGCAACTGTATATTTAATGACGAATGAATGTATGGTACATAATTAATCATTGGCCATGTCAAAACAGCATATAAGAACATTTCTTCTTCTTTATTTCTAGGCCGTCTATAGGTACACATATATGCATAAAATATTAATAATTTTAAAGTTACTTAATAATAACTGAATATGACTTTATCAAGGAAAAAAGGATACAGTCAAACAATTTTTTTTCTTGAGGCGAAAAGTCTAACTTATTAAGCTGTCAATCATAACAACAAAACTATATTGTTAATATGTTAAAATAACCGAGTTATTTTACTTTGAAAATTTCGAAAAAAAAAGATATTTTGCTTAAATTTTGAGAACTACTGGAACTTTTCTGGGTTTTCTTTTTTGGAAATTTAATCTACTCCCTATGTTGCCATATTATCAAGAATTTTTTTAACTAAAAACTAAAAAAAAGTCCAAAAAAATTTAAAGAAATTCCAAATTAAAAAAAAATCGCAAAAAACTCATAATTGTGTTTTTGGGGTCGAAATATAATACTACCCCTACAAATATTTGCACGTATTTAAGAGTCACTCTGTATAAGAAATAGTAAACATAATAATCATGATAAATAACAAATTAAATTAGATTATCAAACAGCTTATGAATTTTACGTCTAAAGGTAGATCTACTCACTGGCAAAGATGTTATAAAGCTTTCTATTATAAAATTTAACGGTATTGTATAAGTATTGTAAGTGATCCCTGGTGCCCCACACTCCAATTTATTTGGGTACCTTAAGTACCGATCAATGCCTACTGCTTCGAAGAACACATGCCTAATGAAAATATTTAGAATAATCCAGAATAACCTTTTTATTAACAAAACTATTTGATTTCTACACAAAAACAGAATTTTTACTTGCCTGAAAAATGTATATGTTACGGTTAAAGTCCGATATCCGGTTAATGTTTGGGTTTTGTTTTGTGTTATTCTCGAGATTACCCGGTTATAATGTCGACATTAACCGGGTATTGGACCTTAACCGTAACATATACAGGGTTGTTCCCCACATACGACACGGGGTATTGTAGCTAAACGATTAGATTTTTGCAAATTGTAAGTTTTGGGTTCGTTGAAGGACTATTAGAGCTACAATTTAAAAATATTTTACAAGATTGAGAGTGTCCTAAATAAATAAAAAATATCAAAGTTGTATTTTTTTAAATGGAATATCCTGTATATTATTACATTTTTAGTTTCTACGATTAAAATAAAGGTAAAGTTGATTAAGGTTTACTACATTTTAATCTTACCGTTTTTCGTTTTTGAAATATTTAGGTTTTTGTCAAAATAATTTTAATGCTTCATTTCTCTAGGCGTATTTAAGTTTTCAAAACCAAATATTGTACTGAAGTATTTCTATTTACTCAATTTTGTGTTGCAATTTGCAATAATAATATAAAATTATAATATATATTATTATAATTTTATATTATATTATAACTATAAATATAAATATATTATATATAATATAATATAATTATAAATATATTATACTACGTTATACAGAGTGTCTCAAAATTTATTTTAAATAATTACTAGCTTTAAAGGGCAATAACTTGTTTAATTTAAATGGAACGCCCTATATATTTTAGGATAATCAGATGCACAATTTAATTGTCTATTAAATTGTATACCATTTTTTACCTATCCCTTCAAGTATTCGTAGAAAATGCATTTTCTTATAATTTAGACTTATTTATCAATATACCCATGGAATATTGACATTTTAGATTATTTTTAAAGATGTAAAAAATTTTTAAAGAGCACAGATACTAATATTGTCGAAATAGTTCGTTTATTTCATTAAAAATAAATATAAAAGTGTTTAAATATTTGTTAGAGGACCAATTAATAAAATATGATTCCAGTATCCAAACTACATTAATTGACTGTTTACCTTGATTAATAATAATTGCTCCAAATACTGAAAAACTGAATTTTGTATGTGTATTAGACAATGTGGTAAAAAGTAACACCTTATAAATGTTATTTCATTTTTTGATGAATGCTTATTTATGACAACAGAGACGTTCATATTCATAACTTATTATTATATTGATTTCTGACTCAAATCCACATTTACTTAGAATAATTTATTAACTAACACAATTAATTGTAATTAATGAATATTTGGGCGGAAATAATGGTGGTATATTTATTTAATGGTAAAAAAAATTAAAAAAAAGATAAAAAAAAATATCCCTTTTATAAAGATTGAAATAGTTTTCTTTTTGTATACAAACGGACTAGTAATATTATCGTTTTTAGCACCTGTACATTTTGTACATTTGTTGCTTGAAAAAACAACAAAACAATCTAAAATGTCAATATTCCATGGGTATATTGATAAATGAGGTTTGAATTATAAGTAAATGCATTTTCTATGAAAACTTGAAAGGATAGGTAAAAAATGGTATAATATAATTTGATAGACAATTAAATTGTGCATCCGATTCTGTTCAAATGTACAGGGTGTTCCATTTAAATAAAACAAGTTATTGCCGTTTAAAGCTAGAAATCATTTAAAATAAACTTTTAGACACGTTCATTATTGCAGCACAAGAACTGATCAATAAATAAATTTTAGTAAATATTTGGTATTAAAAACTTTGATACCCTTGAAGAAATGAGGCCTTAA